ACTGGAAATAATATTCCCTGAAGTCCTGCAAGATTGTTACTGAACTAGGATGAACATGAACTTCAGTTACAGACACTCCAAATGGCAAATCTCTCCTGTGTGTACCTCTTTTGTACCATAGCCAGCATATCAAAGTCCATTTCTTGTTTTGCCCCTCATAGCATACATGGAGTTAGAAGCTTAATACCAGTTCCTGAATTCTGGAAGGTTTTACATACAAGATATGGGACTGGAGATGACATCTTAAACAGTTATTTGTCAGAATTTCTTGTATTTACTGCCAAAAGACAGARCTCTGAGCCAACTCAAGCATCTGATTTCATGGCTGCATAACAATTACTTAGCTCAAATGTAGTGAGGCATGAAAGGCATCCCTTTCAAGGACCACCCTAATGCACAAACCCTTTGAGGCTCTTGCTTGAGTCTACAGTCATTCCAAAGCTCCCAGGAGAAATATAGAAATACCCCAGGAATATTTCGTTCCAGGAGTGATCTTTCTCCAATGTGCTGCCAGCTCACCTGGGTTTTGCTAACACTGTCCAAGAAGGCAAATTTGTACCAGATACCCAAATGAATATCAGCCAAGCCCTGAAGCCTCTTCTTCTCTCTCTAAACCTGTTTAAAGCAAAAGTCTTAAAGGATAACTAGCTCCACAAAACTGCATCTACCTCTCCTCATTCCATACTCTCCCTGGAATTTTTCTCTGCCAGAGAACAGAAATCTTAGGACAACCAAGATTCTTCCCAGATCCTTCCAAGCTATGGTAGGTATGGGAAAATTGCTTGCTTCAGATTGTAAAGCACCAACTCTCTTTTATCTATGTAGACTGATTCCCAAAATGCACTCCTGTACCCAGAAGAATAAGTTAATGTTGTTAAGAAAAATRCACATTGTTGAAATCAAAATGCTATGGCTAGAGAATGTATTTCTTGGGAACATAGAAAGCTTGRGAACCAGATTTGGAGAAGGTTAACAGCCTGCATTCACTCCACCACCATCCTGGGACTTCTGGCTTTCCCTGCATGATGATTCCTTTTGCTCTGCAGACCTATCTCTATGGCTTCACCTCAGCAATTGAAAAGAGGACCTGCACACAGACAGACACGTCTCAAGTCACTTTAGCAAGTCCATTTACTAGTAGCAATGTCGTGGCTGCCTAATGATTGTGCAGACCAGTTGCCAATTGTTTGATTGCCGATATCTTACACAGTCCATACAACCTGCACTGAAATCCCCCTTCCTTCAATTTCAGTCTTAAGGATAACTGAGAAAATTGTATTAAATCTTGCTGAGATGTCTGCAAATGCCATAAATGCACTCCCTGCATGAGAGTGCAATGCCGCYCTCTTCGCTCTTTGATCTCCCAAAACACCTCATTTTAAGCCTTCTTTGTCCTCAGGTTGTATGAAACAGGACATGAAGATCCTAAACTATTTGCCCCCTTTCTTCCTTTTCCTTGTCAGTGCTGAAGCAAATCATCAACCATCAGCACAGAAGTAAGACTTTGCATTCTTCCTGGAAAGGAAACAGTTCTCAATGAGATCCCTCAAATCTACAACTCATAAATCTGAAACATACTGGGCTACCTCTGTCTTTGGAAGGAGCTGTTGTGCTGACAAAATAAAAAATTACCCCTTGACAATGTTACCTGCTGAGGAAGGATGTAGCCCTTTCTAAAGTGACTAACATTAAAAGATGTATTCTCTTACCTTAAATACATAATGGATGTTCTTTCTATCAGAACATTTGAGAGCAATAGAAGCTACAGTGTCCAAGAGGGTGTTCTGCAGCAGGCATGGTCCAAAAATTACTTCTTTGGGAATGTCTTGTGTGGTATGAACGGTAGCAAATATGTCTGGAAAGTGATGATGCAGAAGTTTGTTGTCACTTGTCCAAAGGAATTTAGGCAAGGATGTAAGTTCCATCATAAACCTGTAAAATAAAAGAGAACTCACAATTGGGATACAGATGGAAATGGCAAGAGGCATCACTACTTACAGTATAAAGACATTCTGTAACTGTAGGTGAACTGTCAGAGCAGGGTAAGATGTTGCTGGTTATGGAGTTCACAGCTTTCCTAAGATTCAGTTCAGACTGAATTTGTATTAAGCCAAAGCTTAGGTTTATAAACAAGTTAAATACTCTTTTCTGGAGCAGTCCAATACTAAAGAGTTCAGCTGCTTCTACGGTGCTGCTTCCTATGGCCATGAACAAGAAACTGTGGGCACAGTCAGCAGAAGTTGCCATCAGTGGAAGTCAGAGTATTCTTGCTCAGCATATTCCCAGATTCTTGTTATTTATTTTTGGTAATTTGTAGGGATGTGAAAGACGGTGGAGAAGGAAAATGAAAACAGCAATGCATTTTGCTTCAGCATGGCAACATCAACCTATATTCTTGTTAGGCAGTAACAAAACCAGGAATACCCTGAGCCCTAAGTCTATTCAGCCTGGCCCCACAAAAACTCTGGGGAGTGATAAAAGGTAATTTCATCTCGACTTAATATTTATGTGAGATCTTACTTACCTGTTGTTGTTAGTCAGACTGTGACTCATTGCATGGTGATATTTCCTGCGTAATATCGGTAGAAATTGCTATATTTCGGGTGTTGCTGGGGGCTGTTTATTTTGCCTTTATCATGTAAAATAATATAACATTTTTCAGGGCAGAGACGATCTCGACAGTATTGTGGGATTCAGGCTGGGAGCTCTGCATACAGTGAGGAGGCAGGTTTGAGTTATTTGTCATTCTTATGTCTTCTCTGGATATTTAATAAAGATATAGCCATCCCCAGCTCCCAGCTGGAGGTCATGGAAAAACCCTCATTTATGTCATCAAGAGCTGGATCAGGTCCATTAGGCAGAGAAAATTAAAGAGAACAGCAACAAGCCCTGAAGAGGCCTTAGCCTAATAAATACTGAGATAGAAGGGCTGAAGATCCAGTCTAATCTTCCTCATTCTCTGCCAACAGAATTGATTTGTTACTCTATGATTCATGACTTAAACTGAAATGATATAAAGTGCTCAGGAGACTTGCACTGTTTAACTAAATCAGTTTCTAAATCAGTGCAATTAATTCTGTATAACTTCCTCCACTAGGCAAGGTCTAAGTCCCGACCCTGAAAATACTGAAATATGGAGTTACTTATGCAGTAAATAATAAACTTCTGAAAGATAAAGACCTAAAAGTGACAAACAAGATGGTGAGCAAAAGAAGGGATATAAAAAGTCAGAAGGCTTGCTAGGGATTAGTACCTGAGAGGAGGATAAAATAGTCCAGGCTTTCTACTAATCATGAATTTCATTGCATGTTCACAATTAATCTCCTAAAGTTATTGTTGGTGTGAGAATAAAATGTATGTGTATATATATTCATACAATATATCTTTACCTAAATATATAGAATGTATTTATATATATGTGTGTGTATTTCCATTCAAACTATATTGACTTTAATAAATGGAAATGGTAGACTTATAATCATTTTTAAATAGTACCAAAAATGAAAACTCCAACTCGATATAAAATAAGATTATAAAGTTGGCATTGGCAGTGGTTAAATGCATTAAAAAAAAAAAAAGGTAATTTCTATCTGCAAACTAGTAGCATGTTGTGCCTTATTTATGTGGGTGTTAATCCTGAGGACCCTGAGGCTGAATTTGCAAKGAGAAAGAAGTCGCAAATGCTGGATTTAAGCACATATAATTGTTTTAGGAAAGGGGCGGCACTCCCTGTTTGCAGTCAGGCTCTTGCTCCGGATACCAGGGTGCCAGGAAGCTACACRAGCACCCAGGCTGGTGCCTAGTGCCTGCCTCTCTCGCAGCCTCTATCTTGAAGGGCTGTCATAACCCAGACGCATTTCTCCCTGAGAGTGAAACCGGGCTGCAAATGGATGTGAATTATGTGTGTCAGCACCACCTAGTGCCTCCTGCCATTCYGTACATCCCCAGGAAGGACTCACAAAAGGGCACATCAGCCTTCAGCTCTGTTGCCCCACTCTTTCAGATTTCTGCCCGGCAGATTTTGGAACCGCTGACTCCCAGAGAGCAGCCTGCACAGCTTTTCTGAGCCTAGGGGTTAAACTGAGCCCACCAGCAGCTCCCAACTGTGYGTGCATTGCTGCCTGCTCCCCTTGSCCGAATCATGAGTATGGCTGGGCAACATGARGAATACTCCCAAAGGCCAAGGCAGGAAATAATGCCCAGACATCGGSATCTCTCTGCTGTTTGCTGCCCCACGGAAGCGCCTGCCGGGTTAGGGCCGGTTCTGTGCAGGGGAAGGGCAGCTAAGACGCCTCATTAGCAGCTCTGCCCCAAGGCAGAGGCCTCTTCCCAGAGGCAGGATAGGTGCTCACACACCTTCACTTCCACTAAATCCTTCTAGATTGATGGATCAGGGGGAAATGGAGCCTAATAAGGAGTACCTGGTGTTTCCAAATACCATGTTTTCTTGCATCCTAGCGCAAGTATCCCTCAAACTCTATATGCCTTAATTCCTTGCTTGTTCCTAAGTAATTTGTGAATGAATTTAAGATCAGTAATGGAAAAAAGAAATTTCCCAAATCTGCAGAAATAAATGCCAGAGTCTCACAGTGAYGGCTACAGTTGCATTCCCTTCTCGTACAAAGGATCAGACTTGTGAAGAACTACAAAAAATGATGTCCTGTGTATACACACCAGTGGGCTTGTTACAGTAAGACTCCTGTCAGAAACTTTTAGCAACTCTCCAGCTATTGACCGGTGAAATGGTTTGTCCCATGCWCTATCTAGTGTGACATCTCAGCAAAAGACAGCATCCCTCCTGAGACAAAGTGACAGCAGAACATGTCCATGTGCTGTTTGCTTGCTGCATCACTGTWGCTTYAGAGCACCTGCCTGGCATTAATCACTAATAACAATTACTAATTGGTAGTAATCATCTGTGAATGATTCATTCTCTGTCCCTTGCTATTCAGATGCAAGAACAGTGCTTGCCTCCACACCTGCTCCTTTTATTGAAAGGTCTCTGTTCAAAATATAGCTTCACCCACAGCTTTCTACTATCCTGCTTTCTACACAGCTGATGGTAGAGAATTTCCTGATATTTAAGAGGGCAACCTGGAGAATGGAAATACTAACCTCCTAGAAAATAAGGACTGAGTCTTGAAAAATTATAGGAGAGAGGGGACCTGGTCTGGTTTACCGTCTGAATCCTCTGGTGGAGAAAAAGAAACTCAGCAGAGGAACTCAAGGGAGCTAAAAAGATCAAACACAGCAGGAGTAAGAGAGGAAGAGGAGATAAATATTATGTAAGTACCTAAGTATTGCTTTTAAAACTTTGTTGCTGTTTCAAAAAAAAAAAAAAAAAGCAGTTAGCATGGCACTCCTTATAAGATAAACAACACAGATCTTACATTTGTCCTATTCTTCTGGAGCTAAGTTTCAGATTTTGGTGACTTTTTCAATGAAAACTTCCTTTTTAAAAAGCATACTTAAAAATGAGAAGCAAAGCCCTAAATGGTGCAGTTCAAACATGATAAAGTGAAAGGAATGAGGAGGTTTCCTGCAAGCTCTTGCTGTTTGAAGTGCTGTTAATGTAAAGAAGGTTAGCAAGGTCGAGAGGAGGATCAGCGAAAGCACTTGCCGTAGGTGCCAATGGAAGTGTCAGGAGACATATGAAGATGCCATTTCAGGAAGGCTCAGGGAAGCTTAGTGTTGTTCCAAGTCTAAATCTACCCTGTGCTCTTCCTCTTGTAAGTCCAGTGTTGTACTCGCGTTAGTGATGCTTTGCCAGCAGTAATGCTTCCCCGTGGATGGGTAGGAGGTTGCCCAAGATGCACTAAAATGCTTGGCATTTTCATTGACAGAATGAAGTAGGCGAATTACTTTGTAGTGAGTAAAATGATTGTAATGATGAATTCTCCAAGACTTTGCCACTTTTTTCTCTCTATACTTGCAGAAGCTCCTGAGGTCAGTATCAAAACTTCATCTCCCCTAGTTCAACTTCCTATGGGACCTGCTCTTACACTACGTTCAACTACTCCTGTCTCAGAATTACACGGTTTCTGCTGACTGTTTCAGAAGTTATGTTCCCAACCTGAGCCCTTCCACTTTGCCTCTTGCTCTTAGCCTGCCCTGCAAGCAACAGCTTCTCCAGTGCTTAACCATTAGGTGTTCTCTTTCCTCACTGAAGTACCTACAGTTGCAATCCATTCTTTCRGTGACCTAGAAACCCCCATGGGTGCTTTCCAGTGCCATCAGGTCAAGAACTTCAAGTTTTCCCCAGCGATATAATTTCATTTGTAAAGTTCTTATTTTTCCACCGCTGATGTCAATGCAACTCTTTTGCCTTCTAAAGGAAATGCAGGACATAGTTGCTTCTGCTGCTCATTTTCTTTAAATAAGTTAAAATTGGAAGTGGAAAAGTTGTTCTGTATTTCTGTGCAAAGGGGTCTTCTGCTCACAGCAACAGCAGAGGCTCTGAGAAGGTCATATCTTCAGCTCTGTATCACATAGRCAATGAAATGCTTGCCCCAAACCACCAGTGCTGGGAGTGCTGTTGCCTCCCAGAGACAGGAGCTCCTATGCAAAATAATCCTGTCGTTCTCTCATGTTCTGCATAAGCAGTTCCTATCCCTTTGGGCTCACCCACCTCTGAAAGGGTGAAATAAAGTCAATATTTATAGTGTATTAGTAGTGCATTAGTCTCYGATTACCTGTTAGATGATGGCTATCTTTCATAATCTGTCTGTCAAAGATGCAATTTTTTCATATGGATTGGTTTAGGGATTTGCTGCTTTATAGGCTCTTCATCCTACAAAGAGTATCTGATACACATATACCATGTCCCCGAGTGATGGATTTTGCATATTGATTTCTGAGATTTGTGACAGATCTGACAAACAGCAAGTACTTAAAGGCAAGCAACTTTCTAGGGATTAAGGATGTTTCTTCAACCAGCATAGAAATGAATAAGGGTTCACCACAATTGCTCCCAGCCTCCTCGCTTCCAGAAGGAGCATGTGAATTGTTAGTGAAACGAGTTCAGGCTGATTATTTTGGAACAGCCTATGCCAAATCTCTTACAAAATGAACTATGATACTTGAGGCTGGTTTTGCTCCTCTTGATCTAGAAGTTTTGCGACCCACTCATGCCCAGCACCTTCATTACTCTGCTTCATTACGATGTGGCATGTACCTCTAGMAGCTTCCTTTGAGAATATAGCTCCAGTACTTTGGCTGACCCATCCCCATGGGTAGCTCTTCAGAATGCCTCTGGATACATGCAGTTAACACAGCAGCCTCATTAAAGTACAATCAAGTTTCTCATGCTTCCCCATGATGATRGTATTCCCCCTGGAATCTGTGCCTTTGGCCATGTAAGATACTACTTAGCTTGCCTGTAAGTGTATGTTCAATATATATGTGTGTGGCTGAGTTTTAGAGAATGATGACACCTCAGTTTGGCCCAGATGATCTTTATCACTGAAATGCTTTCCTGCTGAAGTTTAGGAATATTATTAGCACATCTAGCAACAGAGCCTAATGCAAAGCCTGCTCTAAGTGTGCAGAAGTGTTTCTTTTATGTGAGTACTGGAAGAACTGACCAACCTCTAAGTAGCTTTTCAGAAAGAAAGAACATATATTAGCTGGCCCTTTTGGTCACATGCTTACAAGTGACTTTGCAAACCAAGCAGATAAGGGAAACAAGGTTAAACAGTTGTCGCTTCTTCCACCAAGATTACAGGAGGTGAGAATAGTCAGTGCCTCATTGACTTTTTTTCTCTCCCTCCTTCTGCTTGGCTTCCATCAAAACCTTGAATTTCAGGTTCTTTAGCTGCCCTCGATCACAACAGGATTCCCTAAAACAAGCTAGAAAGCTGTGGTTCCTATTAGGTGGACTAGAGTCTGCCTCTCTAGTTGTATAAAACCTGCTCCCTGCCCCAGGGCTGCTTTCTAGCTCCAACAGCTGACCTGGGTGGCCCAGCCTGACCAGTGGCTAGAAGGCAAATCCACTTGGTTCAGAAACACCAAAGCTCCCTGCTGCCAGGACAGGTCTGTATCTGCCTCTCCCACCCGACAGCCCGAGTCTGCTGTGCACATTAAGAAGTAGCTCATTTGTAAAAATGCTCTTCCAAGCCAGAATGCTGCAGATCTAGCTCCCTGCTTTTGTAGCTCTTGTATTTCATCACATTTGCACTAGCTAGAGTTAAAATTTGTGCCTTCCTGTATGTGTGGTGGTGGTTTTTTTTGTTTTGTGTTTCTCCTTTTCAGGCAGCTCCCTCAGACTTGAGGACAAGTATTTCTAGGGAAGGGGAGTGAGAGGGGGGCACTGGAACAACCCTGAGTTAACTTTTAGATCTCTGGTTTTATACTAGATGGCCTTCAGATGTCACTGCAAGCTCTCCTAAGAAATGCCTGGAAATACCCAATGCAGAAACACCAATCTGAGCAAGCACTCTTCTATTTTCTTCGGATTTGAACCAATTCTCCTTGTCACTGTGACAATGGTGAACTTCAGCACTGCTCTTCCTTTCTAGGTGGTGATAAAAGGCTTGTAGCCTTGCTTAATGTTATGATTGACTTTGGCAGTGGGAAGTTAACGACTGAAATGCCTTTGCAATAGGGGAAAGCTTTTTGGTMAGAACTTGATATTAGTGCTCGTTCTAATGCCAAAGCTTAGTGCTAGCTCAGCACCTTAAACTTGTAAATGGAAGGGAATAATAAAAGTTGCTTATCTTAATTTGATTAAATATAACAGCTTCATTTTCACCTTCACATTCCATTTTAATCATGGTTTGATACAGTGACATTCCTTTCAAAGYGATTATCCTACTTTGACAGGAGAAAACAAACTTTCTCAAAGTTACTCATAAAAACTGTTAAGTGTTTAACTCTGAGAAGCATTATCCCAGTCTGCCATGGYCATGTATGACCATGTATCTACTCTGGCCTTTTTTCAGATCAAGGAYTGGCTTAAAGAGCATAGCCCTTCATTGGCCAATGCCAACAGTACTGCAGGGGTRGGATAGACATGGGAACCATCATGTCTTTTACCTTTTAGCTTGTTCCTCTGTACTCAAATGTGTGACAGTGTTTACCCTGAAGCACATAACCTGTGACTTCCTGCTAATGCACTCCTGTGGCCACTGCCAAAGCTCCCTTTGGTTTCAATAGGAGGTCTGTCGGACCGAAGAATCCCTGAYGAGACGTGCAGTGTCATACGCAATAAACCACAGCTAGGAAAGGAGCTGGGTTGATGCAGACAGAGCATTGTGTCTGCAGCGCTTATTATTCTCAGTTGCTACAAAGAAGAAAAGATTCTTATGCATGAAGGAAACTTCAAGAGAATTAGAGGTAGACAGGCAAGAAGATCTAGTTCTTTTATGCTTTTCTTTCCTTTTGTGTGAGGATTCTTTACTTTTTAAGTTATGTACTGCAGAGAATCTCAGCTAAAATGGAAAGACGGGCTGCAAATTGAAAGAAATGGATGGAGAATTCTTCTTATAAAATACATAGAAATATAAAATCCCTGAAATTCTTGGCTGGGAGGGGCAGGGGGCAGGGATCAGTTTAGGCCCAGGTCTGCAAACTTCCTTTCAGGCTTGAAGTGATTCCCTCATATCCTTATATTCCTGTAATGCCCATGTAAATCAACAAAAATGCACAAGTGTTTGTGGAGAGGACAGGGAAATTGGCCATTCCCAGATAACTCGAGTTGAAAGAGTCAGCCAAAGGTTTGCCCATTTCAGATGGTCAAGTCATATCCCAAGCAGTGTATGTAAGGGTCTGGTATTACCTTGGGAGGAAAGAACTGCGGCTAATTTTTAGAAAGGAAACTAATTATGTGTCACTTATTTCTGAATTTCAAGTTAAGCCCCAGCTCATCTTTGAGAAATAGCCTATAGGTTGTATTTCTCCCTTCTAATATGGTGGCAAATTTGGATTCAAGGGGAGAAGGGGATTAGCAGCTACTGAGAAAGTCCATTAGTGCCATATATCATTTCAAATAAACRGGGAGTGAATTTGATTGGCTGTGGAAATGTCATGAAAATGTTTTCCTTGGTGTTTCATGTAGCCATAGGTAGGGTCCCTTCATACCTTCCTTTGCAGCTGCACAGCTCTGGCTTGGAATGACCCCCAAAAAAAAAAAAAAAAAAAGGCTAGAAGCAGGGAAAAATCGCTGCCTAGCACATCCCCTAAAGAGAATAGCCTCAGGTCTACTTTGAGCTTGCAGAAACTGGCCTCTTCTGGTGTGTGAGCACAGAATGAAGGTTTTGCTGTAAATCAGAGACCTCTGAGCTTCTGGAGTGCTCAGGTTTATGCTCTGCATCATCATGATCTCTTTGGAGAGCAATCCTCCAAAGCCAGCAAGTTAAGGCTTTGTGGTCTTCAGACTGTCTTCCACCACCTGAAATGCACAGCGCATGCAATGCAAGCTGACAGCTTTTGATGAACCATCATTATATCTTGGCTGCATACCCAGCCTAGTGAATCATGAAGCTGCCAAATCTTTTTATTACAAACAGTCTCTCAAACTTCAGTGGCAATAATGAAGAAGACAGACCTAAAACTGCTTCTTGGAAATCAGCAAATACCTCAAACACCACATTTGCCTTAAGCAAGCCTTGTGAAATACAGGGACCATTTGGAGGTGCAGATTAAAAGAAARGATTTTTGTGAAGCTGTCCTTTCTCTGAGGACAGGGATAGCTGCAGTGAGGTCTTGGGTACGTGACAGCTGCCCACAGATATGCCCAGCTTCCATTCTGAAGTGGATGCAGGTGGTGCCTATGCTTCCAAAACCCTCACAAGGATTGGATTTCCATTCTTTACCTGAGACCCAGGAATGAAACGTCTCCAACTTAGCATTAGACCTATATTGATGAGGAAATAACTGAGATCTGAATAACGAAACCAATGTACCCTATCTCTGCTGACTTTCAAATGGGAGCTCAGTGTCTAATTTCCTTAAACTGTTTGGAAAATTATAAAGCAAACTGCTATATCTACTGCCAGTATCTTATTTTCCATGATCAYGGGATGGGTAGGAATAGAATGAGTACCCTGTGTATCAGGGAAACTAATGAGGACTTGCTGTGGTACATGATGCAAGAGTATCTGCATAGCTCCCCATGGAGCCTTCTTTGACCTAGCAGAGCTTGTAGGAAATCAGAGGTTATAAATTTTGTTGAGCATGAATTGACTTTGCACAGAATGATTCATGTCCCTGTCCCACACCTCTTAGACCTCTGGATACATGAAATGTCAACCTGGCCAATGAGCAGTGGTAAATAATTTTACCGTCCTGATTAGAAAGGATAAAATCCATCTGTCCTCGACAATCCCACTGGTTCAGAGGGATTAGGTCTAGGAATTTGGGTCCATGTTGTATAAAAGGTCACTACTCCTCTCCRCTTGGGTTGGCCTCACATGCAGGATTATTACTTTTGTCTGGCACTGCATCTGAGCTAATGTACAAGCTAGCGCTGTCCATCAGGGTGCAGTTCATTCCAAAGACAGATAATTTACCTGTGGATAAGGGAAGACATGGCTATAGCTCCACCCTGTTGGTTTTTAATCTGTGCATGTGGGGGTACTGCTTGGGGGCTCACTCTTCACTGACCCTGTCTAATGTCTTCTGCTCAATGCTCTTCTGTCTAATGGAAGTATTACCTTCATCTAACACTTCYGCTCTTGTATTTTGAAGCCCTAAGACTTAAAATAGGGTTCCTATGGAATAAAGGGAGTATGTTATAGCTCTCTGTCCAGGTCTGAGGTTTTTGTCATGTTAACAGACTGTGGATRTTACAAATTAACACAACTTTATCTGCACAGTACATGCATTGCATGGTGTTTCATATTCTAGAGTCAAATACACTAGCAGGTGTCTCAGTGACTTGGTCTAGTTTCTGCTGCCATTGTCTTGGTATTAATCATACTTTAGAAATAAACAAAATTCTCAAAAATGCCACTGGAATATCAAATTTTACAGGGAAAATACAAGTAGAGAGCACAAATATTAAAAATTCCTTTACTTTTCTCCCATCCATTAAGAGYATGCACCAAATATATACATTTTTAAAGCAACAAATTCTTTTTTTTATTTGGAGGCAAGAGAACTGTGCAAACTTATCACCTATCAGTGGAGTGCAAGAAWTTTTTTTGTCACACATACGTGTATCCATTTATAGCAAGTTCCTTGTTTGAGTCATGTAATTAGAAGAGGCTCAGGCCCCTGACCATGGTCGTTTGGATGTTTTTTCTCCAGTYTGAGTGCCCAGCAGTGTGTGTGTACCTGTTGGGCAGAGCTGCTGAGCCCACCGCCCCGCTGGCTCTCGTGCTGCCCGGGCAGCACACTAAGCTCCTACAGGTGCTGTCCCAGGGATGGCTGCTCCATCCCCAGTCCGTCTGTGCAATCCATAGAACGTCCCCAGTCCCTTCCACCTGCCTAAGTGGCCGGTGTGCGGCTCGGGAGCTGGCTGTGGCCAAGCAAAGTGCCGTGGGCTGGGCRAGCATCCTGCCTGCATGGAAAAACAGCCCCTTCTCCCCTCCCTCTTCATCTTCAGACCACCAAAGGCACAAAATGGGCATGACAAGGGTCGCTAAGAACAGCGCATCCAGTGCTGAGCCTTGTGTTCTTGCACAGATTTGTCTGTTTGATCATCCTCATACACATCCCGGCTGACAAAAACCACCACTCCCTACAACCAGACGCAGCAAAGTGAAAAGCAACCAGCCCATGATGCAGACACGGTCAGACAGAGACAAAATTCATAACTAGGAAAAGCAGGACAAATCATTCCTCCTTCATATTATCTAACTTGGATTGATCTCTCCTTTTCTGAAATTTTCTGATGGATTTTTAAGATATATAGGTTACGTTTGCATTTAACAGTCCTGCTATTTATTTTGGTAGCTCGATTTTTTTTTTAAAAAAAAGATGATACCTGTTCAAATACTTCTTTTGTACAGGCATCTGTATATTTGCATGTGTGTACACATATATATATATATACACACACAGACATATTTATAACTATGCATATGGATACAGATATATAAGCTTTTGCTCTCTTTGAAGCTTTTCATGGGTATTTGAAGAAGGATATTTTAAGACTGACAGCCTTCTCTTTACCATGGCTAATACTAGAGATTTCTCTAGAAGTATTAACAACATTAACTTACATTCATGTTTTTTACATTAATGGCAAACAGTAAATAATGCCAACTAACAGTAAGTAACTGAGTTGAATAGCCCTATGTAACAGGAAAGTGGAGTGAAAAACATAAACAAATGAATTTACACTACMATGAAGCAAAGAAATCTTCCAAAAGAAAGTGTTTTTTATAAATTAAAATAGGTCTGACAAAATAATTTTTTTAATAAAATTGTTCTCACTGAATAGTTCCCTCTGACCTAATATTTACTAATACCATATTGCAAGTAATATATGTGTGCTGCAAAAAATTATATTAATTGCTTCACAGCATCACAGACCTAAAAATACACATATATAGCATCCTAAGCAAGCCACATATTTTATCTGGAATTTTTAATTTATTTTCTCATCTGGTTAAACTGCATTCAGATAAAAACTTCAAGTAATATTTTGACTTAAAATTTATACGTCAATAAAGATAAYTCTTTTTTGTAAGATCGTGTTTCTCTAGAGGAGTTGTACAAAGCAGCTCTGCTTTGCTTACAAACATTGAAAGATCCTTAAATCTTATTCTTCATACATAGTTTAAGAATTATTTGGAAATTGAAATATGGAATATTGGAATATGAAATTGTATGAAGATGAAAAAAATCTTGATTTTTATCTATTCTTCCAGCTGCCTAGATTAATATCCCTCTCTACTACCAACTCTATTTTAGAATGATAATCAATATTTAAGTACCACATTTAGCATTTTTTAATAGCTGGAAATAAGGAATAGCCCCCAAGGAGCAATTAATCTTAAAACACTTAATTTGATATTTGGCTGCTACTGTTTTTGTTTAAAAACTATATTAAAATATGGAGCTATTTAGAAATCATGCCTTCCGCCAAGATTATTGCTAGTTCCTTCAACTAGTACCTGTTTGATTTCAGAATAAAGCCATTAAAACGCTTCAGACGTTTCTGGTGAACTTCCCTGCAGTGCAAACCGTTTCGTGGCAGGACGCGGCGCTTGTGAGTGACAGCAAGGGCGTTGTAGGCGCGCCAGGTGGAAGCCCCGCTGCGCGGGCGGGCAGCGCTGCCCCGCACCGCGCCCCGCGCGCGGCCCCGCAGCTCCCGGGGACGGGCGG